TTACTAAGAAAATGCTGTGAAGGCTCTGTTAACCAGTTTGATGAAAATATTTCAAATTGTATATAAAACCAGCACATTGCATCCCATGATTGCATTAATGTACACAGCTATGATTTAATTTTAAAAAAAGTCAGATTTGAGAAAAAACTGAAAATTAACTAGAGATAGTAATAAAGACAACTTCAGAAATGTTAAAAATTTAAAAAAAAAGAATTAAGTTTAACATAGATCTTCATGTAATAAATACCTATTGTTATCAGGTACTAGAATGTCGCAGATGTGCCTGTGTAGATTTTGAGTAAGAAACATGGTTATTTTTTAAAGTAGCTTTCAATGAAGGAAGAGAGAAAAAGAAAAAGATAGAAAGAATGAGGCTATGACTAGCAGGTGGCATTAAAAAACAAGCCACCTAATGAAACCCCCTAACAACCCAAGATTACACAGCACAGGTCTAAGATGTGTGCTCCCTTTTCTGTCAAGGACTCAACTCAGGTACCCTAACTTGTTTTTTCCCTGGAAATCCTGATGGATGCTATTCCACTCCAAAGCCCAGAGCAGATATGAAATAGATCTCTTCCTCAGCCATCAGGATTCAAAATATAAATAACCAACTTACACTGGTATGGAGAGGTTGACAATTTTAAAAGTTCTGTTACATGTCGCATCTTGTATAAAACTCACGACAGTGAGAGCACAGATATTATCCCCTCCTATTTCCTGGCGAGGAAGCTGAGTGAGGCTCATAGAGTTAACTGAGTTATCCAAGACCCCATAGTTTAGGCAGAAGTAGGACCTAGAAGGCCAGGCGTGATGGCTCACCCCTGTGATCCTACCATTCTGGGAAGCTGAGGCTGGTGAATAGTCTGAACTAAGGAGTTCGAGACCAGCCTAAGCAAAGCGAAACCACTCATCTCTATTAAAAATAGAAAAACTAGCTGGGCATTATGGCAGGCCCCTAGAGTCCCAGCTATTCCGGAGGCTGAGACTCTTAAGAGAATTGCTTGAGCCCAAGAGTTTGAGGTTGCTGTGAGCTGTGACTCCCCATCACTCAAACCCAAGGTGACAGTGTGAGACTCTGTCTCAAAAAAAAAAAAGAAAAAGTAGGACCTAGGTGTCCTCGCAACAGACCAGCCAGTTCTTTGTTTCTTCTCAAGAGGAGAAAGCTCTACCTTGGTGAAAAGGAATTCTAATAATACTTTCCTCTTCATCTGTGAGTATACTGTAAGTGGTGTTCCTCCCTCCACATCCACCTGCTGGGATTATCCCTTCTCAGTGTGTGCTGTGTTCAGCCTCTCTCCTTTGACTTGTTCCTCCCACTCAGCACTGATAGAAGCAGCATTTCATTTAAACTTGTTCAAATCTTTCTCCTCTTAAAGAAATCTTCCTTTCACCTGGCACCTCTGCCAAGCGCTGCCCTATTTCTCTCCCCTTCAGACAAACACTGCAAAACCAGCCTGTTCCTCACATTCCCCTCTCTAAGAAGCTTCTGCCCTACACCAACACTAACGACGTGCCCATCCCTAAATCCAGCAGGAAAATTATCAATCTATTGTTTGAGTTCACATGGTATGTGACATGAATAGCCAGGAAATTATCAAATACAACCTTTATGGATCATCTTTGTAATTTATGATAATGCATCAAATGAATGCTATGAACATTAATCCCTCTTAAGTAATTAATCTTATAAATACGGGTTCGGTTATTTCTAGTTTCTTGAAAACAATTTAAATTTTGCTATATTTTGAATCAATTCATTACTAAATCATGCAATCATTTGTAATTGATTTATTTTTTATTTTGTAGGCTAAAAACATTGATACTTAAGCATAAAATCACAATCACTCTGACCTAGTATATATCTTCTGTTGACTACCCTTTTATTCAAATGGTCCCTCCCCTGAGACTGAAAGATCCCACACTCTCTTGTCTGTGCTTCTCCCTCCATGGTCCCTTTGTCTTCAAGTTGGGTACCCTTGACCATCATCCAGACCAGGGTTCCCTGTGAATCTGTCTTGTTTCACCAACATATCCTACTTGGGAATTATTGTGCATTTCCATGGCACCAGCTCTCCCTATAAATTGATAAATCTCTAGTCTGTGTAAGTAGACCAGATCTCAGCAAGCTAGTGGCCTTCAGGCTGCTTTAATTTTGTTTACAATAAGAAATTTTGTACATTTTTAGTAGTTCACAATGTAACACTGTAATCACATCTTCACAATATAACCGGCACATTGTGACCCAGGACACTTGTAGTTAAAAAAAGAGATTATTGACATAAAAATAGTGATAAAGGAAGAGAATGTTATGATACAAGTTTCGGTAGTGACCTACATATAACAAACATAGCTCAAAATATAAAGGCTTGACTACGACAGTGTAATTCTGTGTTGCCTGAAAGTGCCAGCTGTTGGAGGCTTTTCTGTCTTGCTTGTTGTTCTGATTTCTTTAGCACCTGGCTTCCATCTTATAGTCTGTGACAGGAGCTCTGATTATAGCCATCACATCCACATTCCAGCCAGGTTAAAGAAGAAAGGAGAAGCACAAACTTTACCTCCCATCGTAATTCATGAACTACACGTGGCATATATCACCTCCATCACACTCCAATCACCAGAACTTAGTCATATGCCATACCCAGCATTGAGGGAGAAGGCTAGGAAATAAAAATCATTAACCAAGCAGTCAGCACCCAGGGAAAACTTAAGAGTTCAATTATTAAAAGCAGAATTGGAGATGTGGTAACATAAAACCACCAATTGTCTCTGCTGGAAGTATGTGAAATAGATGTTTCCTAAATTAGTATTTTCACTTACTCTATCTGATACACTCTATTTCTACTTTAGCATATTCTATTCCACTTTTTTAAATCCTTGTCATGATTCACAGGTCATGTCATAACTCACTATAGATGCTGACCCACAATTTGGAAAACACTGCTCTAAGCCTATCATGTCTGATATTGTAGCCATGAGTCACCAGGGATTATTGAACACTTGAAACATAGCCAACCTAAATTGATCTGAGCTATAAATGTAAAATCTACATCAGACTGTAGATTAGGAATGAACAAAAGAATTTAAAAGCTCTTCTTAACAATTTTGAATTGACTAGATGTCAAAATTATCATGGTTTGGATATATTGGGTTAAATAAAATACATTATTAAAATTAATTTAATCTGTTCTCTTTATATTTTTAATGCAGCTACTAGACAATTGAAAATTACAGAGGAGACTCATACTACATTCCTATTAGACCACATAACTCTAAGCTCTAGATTTCACATATTAAACTTCCTATGAATATTAATACTTGAGGTATCCCACAAGCACTTTCTAAAACTACAATCTTTATCTTTCTAACTCTCAGCCCTCTCTCCTCCTTCTGCTCTGAGCAACCTCAGTTTCACTTACCCAGCTTAAGAGCAATGCAATTCACTCAGTGACAAGCCAAGAAAATTGAAAGGCACATTTTCTTTTATTTCTCACATTCATACATTCACCGAATACTATGTTAGTTCTCAAATAGGATATAAATCTGCAACTTCTTTCCAATCCCACCACATCCTAGTTCAAAATACTGTCAACTCTCACCTATTACTGCATTATCACATCAACTCCCTGTGCTTAGAATGCTCTTTTTAGTTCCTTCTTCCTCCAGCTAACCACTAGGCCTGCTACAGAGATTAATCTACATTTTGCTTTTCCCCAAATTTCCAAGGTGACAAATCTTAATAATGGGCCCATCTGATGTACTCCCAGAGAATCGTGAACTTCTCTGAGAATAATTTTTGGCTACTCTATTCTTATTACTTATTTTTCTGTCTGTTCTCACATCCAAAAGAATATAAAACCTTTTAGTACATATCCTATTTTTTTGGCCATCCTATCTCTAAGATTTTGCATGGTATCCAGCTATACTAGGATTAATAAATACTTGGAAAATAACCAAAGGGCTGCAGGAATGGATACAGAAATGGATAGATGGATTAATAAAATTGTTTAGATTAAAGATTTATATTAAAGATCTCAGAGGAGTATCATATTTAGAAGGCAGTGAAGGAATTTCTTATGTAACAGATGGTAAAGGCCATTGAGGTTTTAGTTAGGCATAATAGGCATAAAGCTTGTTTTTGAGGTCCTGTTATTTCTCTGTCGCTGTTTGTCCTCATTGACTTCCATGGAACCTGGCTAAGGCAAAGGTCGCAGTGACAAATAAAGATCCTCACATGCAGCTACTGCCGGCTCAATAGTTGCTGGGGCCCAAAGACACAAGCACTCAGACCAGCGTAAAGATGCGCCAGAAGAACGCAGCCCCTTTTGATATCTCACCAGCCTTTTATGTTTCAACAACACTCATTTACAACATAGCTTTAGTTGATTTATCATGACTGTTCAGGAGTCAAGGAAACTATGTCCCCACACACATCATGTAAGGGTGGTCTTGCGTAAGACCTAAGGGGAATAATGTGTGGAGGAGTGAACACAGGGTCTGGGTTTAGAATTAACTTTTAAAGTAAGCATATGTTGTAGAAGGGAGGAGATGTTACCTTTTAATCAATACTGCTAATCTAATCCGCCCAGCCCAAATGGCTGCTTTCTAATCCAATCTTTTGATTTGTTCCAAACTGCTTAAGCATTTTATTCCTGTGGCTACATTTGGTTTTCAAGATAAGGAGGCAGGCTCTTGCTGTTTGAACTCCTTACAAATGCTTTACCGTTTTTTCTAGCTTGTCCCCACATTTCTCCTTTCAACTTTTCACTTTCTTAAAACAGGAAATTATTTTCTGTTATCATTATTATTCCAGGGCCTAGCTCTGGAATGAAACAGTGAAATATTCTGTTTTGAGCCTGCCCGATGTTGCTTAAATTGCAGTCTCCCTTGCCAACTATTCATACCAGAGATGTGAGAAGGCCATAAAAAGCATTTTGGAGATTTTTGAAGAAGTGAGAGAGAAAAGAGTTGATCAGCTGCTTTATGGTAAAACAGGGACACTAAGCACTAACGAGAATGTAGCTTTATCCCTCCAGGAATTCTTTTTAGCCCGCCAGGAATTAACTTTGACTATAAATAGGTCATCAATGTTCCTTTCAGAAAATGTTCAGAGACCTTAACTTTGTTTAGAGACCTTGTGTGGGTGGAACTTCCTGTTTGCACAGAGAGCAGAATAAAGCCCAGTTGCTCTGAGGAGTGTTTGGGACCAGACCTGTTGCAGGGAGTAGGGTACAACACTGTCTGGTCTCCTCCCGTCCCTTCTCCCTGCAGTATGGGGAAGAACAAACTCCTTCATTCAAGTCTTGCTCTTCTCCTCCTGGTCTTCCTGCCCACAGATGCCTCAGTCTCTGGAAAACCGTGAGTTCTACACAGAACCTGAAGCATGACTTGAAGAGTCCTTTCTTGTATTTCAGATTCTCCTTTATATCATTTGTCTTTCTTGTGGAACTGTCACTAAGCTTCTTTACAACCATGACAGTGTGTAAATCTGGTTTATACATTCTTCACTTATTCCTAACCATTTTTCTTCATATCTCTAGATCTCTGAATCTCTAAATTTCCCGGTGATAAGCAAAGCCTTTCTAAGAGGCATCAGAAATTGATACTTATTTAAAGGACTCAGTTTTCAGATCTTCGTGTTCACATTGCTCTGAGACCAGGCTATTTATTCTTTCTTACTTACCCTTTCTTGTTTGTTTTTGTTTGTTTGTTTGTTTGTTTTTGGCAGTTTTTGGCTGGAGCCAGTTTGAACCCACCACCTCCGGTATATAGGGTCAATGCCCTACTCCTTGAGCTACAGGCACCACCTACTTCCCCTTTCTTACTTACCTATGTTCTATTTTATAAAATAGAGAAACTTCTCCCTTAACCATATCTTATCATGGATCATTGTCCTGGTGTGTAAACATCTCTAGGGTGCCAAATAAAGGAACAATTTGAAAATATTAGTATTGACCTTGAAAAAGCAAAGGACTGTATTGACAAGAGAGAAAATCCATTTGCAGATCAGGTAGTGATGAATTCCTTGTTTCAGAAAAATTGAAGGAGGAACTAAAGGAAACACCAGCTGATAGGTGATTTGAAACAATTCTTGATAAGGACCTGGGTGAATGTTGCAACGTAATGCAGAAGAATTTACAAGTTGGGGCAATGACACTGTTCTTTTACCTGTCATTTACTTACTTCCATGTGAACAATTCTTCTTAGCACTTATATCTACACAAAACAAAATGGTGACAAAATAATGTTAGGCCTTGTTTAATTCTTCCATTAAGGAATATCCATCTATGGATACATAAAATTCACTGGGGAGAAAAAGCTCATCATTCTCACTAAGGATGTGCTTCAAAATTATTTTTATTTTAATTATTTATCTAATATGCATGAATCATACTTTGTTATGTACTTATTTTGTTTTGAACAGTTGTATAAAAGCACATCTGTAAATAACTCAATGAGAAGAGTTTAATATTTACAAATCTATGGTCATATTATCTTTATAAGAGGAGTTAGAGATAAATTTGTCTACCCACCTATAATATTATACACATGTTATTATATGTCCTATATACTTGTTAAGTATATGTATATAATAAGAGTGATCCATAAGGTATTTTGAAGCATAAAAATCTCAATATAAATTTCTCTATGGTAGGCGGCATGGAAATTCAAGTTCAAGGAAGGAAAATGGAAAGATATTAAAAAACTATTACAAAAAGGACTTTGTAATTTTTTTAAGCTGGTGATAGTGGGTGTCTTATCACTATAATATTTAAAATTCCATGGGTAACTTGTAAAAGTAATCAGAGTTTTAATTCAGCATCTCATCAAAAGTAATATCTGTTGCTATTATTTATAACCATGATTTTTAAAAAAAGATAGATATTTCCTTGAAAACATGATAAGAGGTACACAATGTCTAAAAATTATTTTAGGAGTTCTTTGAGCAAAAATGTTTAAAACTACAGTCTTAAATTATATATCAAGATACTGAGAAAGTTACTATCCTGTTCATGAGTTACCAATTTTTGGATGGAGCCATTGTCTAAACACAAGTTGAAAGGCAAATATTTAAAATGCAAACACCCATGGTTAGGCAACACTCTAAGTAAGACTTCAAACTAATAACTCACTGTCTTTGAATCTTAGATTCCATATCTGTGAAGTACAAGCAAGTAGAGTAGCTGAATATATACCTATATACATACTTTTCTCTTTTTTAATGGATGTTTTATAATTTGATTGGTTTTTGTAGTGTTTACCTACTGCTCGAGGTGGCTTGCTTTTTACAGCAAGGTGAAAGAGATTCACAACATGAATAAATGTAACTCACATATTTTTAATTTGAATTCAGATGCTCATGTACTAGGATTCTTTAAAGTGATGTATGCCTATACATTTTATTCTTTTAAGACCCACCTCAGGCAAAATGTTCACTGCCAGAGCATGTGCTAGAAAGGGGAAATAATTTTTCTGCATGCCCTTCCACAGCAGAGTTCCATTCTCATCAGAATGCCTTCTCTTAGAGTAGAACTGATGATGGTAACAATTATGATGGAAAATAGTGGTGCTGACAGCATTGCTTCTGCTTTTACTCTTCTTTATTCAACTGGACTCTCCCATTTCCAGACACTACATGGTGCTTGTCCCCTCCCTGCTCCACGCTGAGACGCCTGAGAAGGGCTGTGTCCTTCTGAGCCACCTAAATGAGACAGTGACTGTAAGCGCTTCCTTGGAGTCTCTCAAGGGAAACAGAAGCCTCTTCACTGACCTGGTGGTGAAGAAGGACTTATTCCACTGCGTCTCCTTCACTGTGAGTGTGACCGTTTGAATTAATATATGCAGTTCTCTTTGTCAAGTAATCCAGTATTCAGTCAAGACAAGGCTTTGGAATGCTGGTAAAAACTTCAAGAAGGGATTGAAATGTAGTAACTAAGTGTAGAAATTAAAAAGTGATGCATGCAGAGTGTGGTGGTCCACATCTGTAATCCCAGCACTTTGGGAGGCCAAGTCAGGAGAATCACTGAAGGCCAGGAGTTTCAGACCAGCCTAGGCAACATAGTGAGACCACCCTCTTTACCAAGAAAATTTAAAAATTAGTTGAGCATGCTCACATGAGCCTATAGTCCCAGCCACTCAGGGAGGCTGAGGCAGGAAGATCTCTTGAATCCAGAAATTTGAGGTTGCAGTAAGCTATGATTGTGCCAATGCACTCCAACAAGACAAGACCCTGTCTTTTTTTCTTTTTTTTTTTTTTTTGAGACAGAGTCTCACTATGTCGCTCTTGGTAGAGTGCCATGCTATCACAGCTCACGGCAACTTCAAACTCTTGGGCATAAGCAATTCTCTTGCCTCAGCCTCCCAAGTAGCTGGGACTACAGGTGCCCACCACAACACATGGCTGCTTTTTGTTGCAGTTGTCGTTATTTGGCAGGCCTGGACCAGGTTGAAACCTGCCACCCTTGGTGTGTGTGGCTGGTGCCGTAACCACTGTACTATGGGCACTGAACCACAAGAACCTCTCATAAATAAATAGATAAATAAATAAATAAAATGTGGATCAACTTAATGACCAAAGAAAAACCTGATTAGCCAGAAAAGAAAAAAAAAAAAAAAAGTAGTGTCTTCTTAAAACTAAAAGGAAGAAAATCTTAATAAAGCAAACTAAGCCCCGGACCAACATGTGACACCAGTTATAGACCAAGAGGAAAATATTACTCCACATTCTCTCTAAGAGTAAAAAATTACACAAATTACTCTGAGAAAATGTCCAATATCTCCAGAGTGGCCCATATGTGAGATGTTTATATCCTAGTGCCAATTAAATATTAGCTTTTTCATAGCCTTAACATATGCTTCTATCATGCCCTTTTGGCATATAACATCAGCTTGGTAAAGCTCAGTGTATAATTGAACCAAGACTATATTTTTCTCAGCTATACAAACATGTGAGTCTCAGTTATAACCTCTTACTGATATATCCTCCTCTACTTGTTTCTGGCTCCCCATTTGTAAAATGACAAAAATAATTGTCATCCATGCCAACTTTCCCTGATGAGAACGAGGGTGTGAAATTCAGTGAAAAGGACAATTATCTCCAGGGAAGAGTGGAGCAGGGAATGGAAGAGATGTGGGAGGATGACTGGGTTCTCAGGATCTCTACTGTATATCAGGTCCCAAAGCCTTCATCCAATGAAGAGGTAATGTTCCTTACTGTCGAAGTGAAAGGACCAACCCAGAAATTCAGCAGGCGGAGCACAGTGATGGTTAAAAACAAAAAGAATCTGGTCTTTGTACAGACGGACAAAGCTATCTACAAACCACTACAGACAGGTAGGTACAAAGAAAGCCACCATCAGGACAACTTCAAAAGGAAAGATCTTCCCACCCTGGATATTCCCCAAAGGTCTTATATTATTCATTCCTTAATTGCTTATTTGGGGTTTGAGGGCTCATGGAAAATATTTCTGTTTCAGTCAAATTTCGTGTTGTCTCATTGGATGAAGATTTTCATCCCCTGAATGACGTGGTGAGTTTTTTATCATCTACATAAAATTATTGTTATTTGTATAAATGGCCTGGGAGCCTATTTTTAGTGTTGCAGGGAAGACCAGGGAGAGCAGGTATCACTAATACTAATTTCTGGCATTACAATGTTACAAAATCCTCATTTAAAACATTATCCCAGGTCAAGAGAGCAGGTAATTCTTTGTTTCTTTGTACTACTACTCAGTCGGTTGTCACACAATGAAACTTACTCTTTAGATAGTTCTAAGGAATAGTAGAAAGATACATTAACTAACAGACACACATAAACCATCAAAGAACATAAATTCAAATAATTTTTCAGAGATTTGACTTTAAACACTCCTGCCTAAGCCTCTGTTATAAAGGAAAATGTGGGTAATCAATTTGCTCCTCAAGATTAACCCTTGACATTTGTGATTTTTAAAAAAAGAATTATTTCTGTTGTAATATATATAATACATCAAACCAAACTCTTCATTTTTCTCTCCCAAATCTAATCCTCTGTCTTATTTTCTTATCTCAAAAAGAGGAGCAATTCTCTTCTACCTCCTACTCCAAGAGATTATAGCACAATCCCTCCTTCTCTTTCTCCCTCACCCTCATCCACTTCTTTAGAAAATCATGTCAGTTAGGAATATATCCAGACTACTTCTTTTTCCCTGAATTGATATAATCACATCCTGGCCAGTGTCATCTCTAAACAAGATCATTGCAGTACCACTGAAAGTGAGCTTCCCCCTTCTATTCTCACTCCTGTATCTAAAAATCGACCACCACAGCCATCACTCTGTTGGCTCAACCCAGCTTTATTTTTCATCTTGTCATTTACTACCACCTGAGAGATACATATGAAAAGTTTTATTAATGTCTATTCATATTATAATGTAAGTTCCATTAAAACAGACATATTCTTTTGCACCTTGCTATATTCTCAGCACCTAGAATGATGCACAACACATGAGTAGGTACTTAATAAATTACTAGTTGTAAAAATGAATAAACATTGATAGCAAAGGAGCTATTCCCATTGCTGTTCATTCTAAGAACTACCTAAAAATTCTGTCACCCATGCATTTGAACATAACTACTTTCAATTTCATGTTTATTTTTCAATCCATGTAAGTGCATGCAAAAGAATGTTCTTCAGTAAAATTCACTATAAGTACTTAAGTAATATTAGTAAGTTGCATTCCTAGTAAATAGCAGTGCACATATATTTGTTGCTGATGGCCTAGTAAGTTCTTAACATTATTTATTAATTGCTTAAAATAGATGAAATTTAATCTGGAATCTTTGTATTTCACTATAGAGAGAGTTATTCTACACAAAGCTATTTTGTTTATAAAAAAGATTTGAGAATATTTGAGAACAATTACACATTCCACTTTTTTCTTTCTTTTTTCAGATTCCACTAGTATACATTCAGGTAAGCAATGTGAAACATTCTATAATTAGAAGGAAAGCAGTAAGTCCAGGCAAAGTGTTTTTATTTCAGAAGTTCTTAACAATATCTCAGAAATGTGTCATTAAGGGACAAGCCTTCAGCCTCACACAGGGCTGAATGGTTATTACTCCTTAGCCTTCACCATTACCTATTTTTCCTTTTTGTGGATAAATTATCATGGATTTCTTCTATTATCTCTAATAAGCTAGATGCTTTTTTAAGTTATAATTAATTTATCCATAGGATCCCAAAGGAAATCGCATTGCACAGTGGCAGAGTCTCAAGTTGGAGAATGGCCTACAGCAACTGTCCTTTCCCCTCTCATCAGAGCCTTTGCAGGGCTCCTATAAGGTGGTGGTACAGAAAGAATCAGGTGGAAACGTAGAGCATCCTTTCACCGTGGAGGAATTTGGTATGAACCACAGAAAATCATGGAACATTTTTTTTCATTAAACCCCTGGGGCCCAAAATTCAAACTTATTTGGAGTCATTCCCTTTCCCATGAGTGATGATGGACTTGGCGTAGAATTAATTATATCTAAGTCTGGTGAGGGCATCAATGACGTGTGAATAAGACTTCCTATAGCTTGGTTACTGTTTGGAAAAATAACTAATATTCCAAACAATATGTATATATTGTTTTAGTGGAATCTCCCACAATTCATTAAGGATACAGTGATCTGTCATAGTCCCTCAACCAAAATCTCCTTTTGAGAGGAAGACAGATATCTTAGTCCGTTTAATGTTTCTATAAAGGCAATTCATAAGGAAAAGAGGCTTATTTGGGTCATGATTCTGCTGGTTGGAAGATTAGGCATCTGGTGAAAGCTTCAGGGGGCTTCCACTCACAGCAGAAAGAAAGGAGAGCCAGCATGTACAGAGATTACGTGGCAAGAGAGAAAGTATGAAAGAGCAAGAAGGAAGCTGCCAGTTTCTTTTTAAACAGCTCTTGTGGAAACTAATAGAATGAGAAATCATTCACCCCACTCTAAGGAAGGGCATTAATCTATTCATGAGGGATCCATCACCACGATCCAAACATCTCTCATGAGGCCCAAATTGGAATTGGGATCAAATTTCAACATGAAGCTTGGAATAAAAAACACCCAAACTACAGGAGTGGATAGAATTATATTAGAGAGTAGAGTTCCCTTGTCAGAGACTTAAAATAAATGAAGAAGTTGTTACAGAGAACGTGGAAGTATTCATGCCCTCCAAAACTGAAAACTAATTCCCAGTCTTCCTTTTTGCTAAACAACAGTGCTTCCCAAGTTTGAAGTACAAGTAAGAGTGCCAAAGGTAATCACCATCTTGGAAGAAGAGATGGATGTATCAGTGTGTGGCATGTGAGTTGACTGCCTTTCATCTTTTGAGGAAAATAATTTAAAAGAGATTTACCATTTGGTAAATGGTGGTGGCAACACAAATATTTTATTTGGAGAACATCTCCATCTGTGGAATGCTCTACTTCTATTACTTTTCTATTTTTCCTTCTTATTTTCTTTCATATCCTTATAAAAGGCTTAAATTCAGAATTTGTAGAATTGGGCATATGGCCAAAATCTCATCTAACTCATTGGGCTACCTAAGGCACGTCACATACCTCTGTGCACTGCCACTTTTACTGAGACTGAACGTGATCTCTCAGCATGGTCTCTTCCAACCTAAAAACTACATTTCTAAGATCTTGGGCTCCCATCCCTGGCAATCCAGCACTAGCCGAAGCCAGAAGAGAAGCAAATGAAGAATATTGTCCTGCCTAGAGACCACATATGTAATTCACCCACTCTTCAGCTAGGCCCCTGCCCCAGGCTATCTCAGAGCAATGGCCAAGTTCCTATTCCCAGGTAACTGGTGAGCCATTGCTCTTGCAAATAGAGATAGAGATGACATTTCAAATAGGTAAGGAAACACAAATCACCTATTGCATATCTATGGAACAATTCCATTTTTGTAAAAAGTGAATAAGTACAATTTGATATAAATAAAGATGGCTGCACATGAGGAGAAGATAATGGAAGTAGAGACACCATCATATTAGT